AATAAAATAAAATAAAATAAAATTGCATCCTATGAAATTCTGGGGTTTGAAATTTTTGTGAGCTATTTAGCCTTTTCTGTCAGGGAGCTCTGGCATCACAACAAACTACAAATTCCAGGATCCCATGATAGGATGGAGCCATGGCAGTTAAAGCAGTATCAAACTGCATTAACTGTGCAGTGTGGCAGCCGCCTCGAGGCAGCTTGGTTCAACCAGGCATTGTTGCTGTTTTAGGAGTATTCCAAAAACAATCAGCCAAATCTTGTTTCCTTTCAGCTGGGAAGCTCCAAAGGATGTCCAAATGTCCCACCCTCAAATGGGATGGAGGCAGCAGATCTGCAGCCAGAAACGGAAGATGCTCGGCATAGCTGTGCAAGGAGTGGGAGCTCCAAAGGAATGTCCTTGCCCTTGTTTTCATTTTTTGGAAATAAGAAATATCACAGCATTCAACAGGAGTGTTGCTTCCAAATTCCCCAACCTGGGTTTGCTCCCTGAGCCACTGGATGCCAGTCCCTAAAAAGCTTGCAGGAAAGACCGAAAGAGTTGTAGCCAAATTGGGACAAACATGGTACCAAATGGGAGACAGCGTGGTATCATGGTTTAAGTGTTGAACTACAACTCCAGAGACCAGGGTTCAATTCCCAGCTCAGCCACAAAATCCATTGGGTCACCTTGGGCAAGTCACACTCTCTCAGCCTCAGGGGAAAGCAATAGCAAACCTCCTCTGAACAAATCTTGCCAAGGAAAACCCATGATAGGGTCACTATAAGTTGGAAATGACACAACAACAATTGGGGGAGGAGAACCCACAAAATGTGCACTTTAAAAAGTGAGATTGCTTTGCCCCCAAATGAAGCAGCTGTCCTGAAAAACCACGAATTATGTTCCCTGCCATTTTGGATCCCTCCAGAAAGCGAGCGACAACATTAAATCTAATGGAGGGAGTGCATATTTTATGTCCCTTTCCCCTTGATGTGAAGAGAAAAGTGCAAACCACCGGGGGATGGCAAATGCTTTTTAAAAATGCATGCTAATAATGCCGTTCCGTTTTGGAGACAGAAACGCACGGTCCATCTATTTCAGATTATGCAATTCCTTATTTTTAAAAAAGGTTGCCCATTGGAACGTAGACTGAACGAGGCTCTTCTTTAAAAAACCGAGGTGGTTTAGCTTCTTCAAATTGGGCTTAGAGAAGAGGTACTGACCTAGAAAATAAGCCTACGTAATTGGATATTGGAAAGGTGCTTCTTTAACCAGACCTGACAGTCGAGGTTCAACCAGGCTTCCACAGATGCTCCAATCCCGCATGATGGATATTCTGCGCCAAGTGCTTTTGCAGGGAGCACCTTGTGCGATTTTTGAGTCTTGGGATAAAGGATGAGGAACTACTAGCCGAGGGCAAATGTGGGCCATGCAAATTCCCCATCTGCTCCACAGAGCATCCTTTCAAGCTATGCAAGAAATGCAAGTCCTCCTCCTCCTCCCTTTAGCTCCGATCGATCTTTTCATAGAGGAAGGCAAGGGTGCAAATCCAGCGGTGCACTTTGCAAGATTTGGTGTGAACGAGACCAAGCTTTAAGGCAAGGATGAGCAAATGCAATGAGGCTGGGAGCCAGTTTTGTTGCTCCTGGGAATTTCCAGGGGACACACAGACTGCCAGCAATGGCAATAAATAAATGAGAAAAATGAGCAGGGTGACCGACCATAAGCAAGTCATCGTCTCTCAGCTTCAGGGGAAGGCAATGGAAAACCTCCTCTGAACAAATCTTGCCAAGAAAACCCCATGATAAGTTCGCCTTAGGTTCATCGTAAGTTGGAAAAGACTTCAAGGTCCATGATGCACACACACACACACACACAGATCCAACAGCACACAGTTAACCTGCGGAACTCATTGCCACAAGATGCCATGATGCCAAACAGGGACGTCTAGTGCTGTCTTGTCGGCAACAGGAAAGGTCTTCACCATTACTTGCTATCTTGCTCTATCTACCCAGATGCATCCTCTTCTTGCCCCTTTCTAGATAAGCCAGACCCAGAAAGTCAACACTCATGCAAATTCCACTGAGTTAATGGGTCTACTTTAGTCTGGAGAAGCAATTGCATTTAGGCTGGTGCTTCCTGTCAGGTTCAAGTTACTCTTTAACAATACAACTTCCGGAATTTCCCAACCAACGTGTGGAAGACAAAGCTCATGAAAAGTCCCTTTTTGGGGAACCGTGACTCCCAGAATACTAGGAATCGTATTCCAAAAAAAGTAACTCTTCCCTACCTCTATGTTATGTATATCTACCGTGAGAAAATCTGATGCAAAAGGAGTGTCCCAGCTAAAAAATTCCAGGGAGATGGCCAAAGGATCCCTTTATTTTCCTTCTCCCGCTGTGAATTTGGGATCCAAATAAAGAGGAGCGTGGCTACAACCCTAATGAGAAGAAGTTGCAACTTCATTTGCCTTTAATGAGGATTTTAAGAAAGGAAAAGGGAATGGGTAACATTCTGCAGTCATGGGGTTTTTATGCTAAGCAAACAAATCAGTAATGTTTGGGGTGTGTTTTCTTGCGTGGGAGGATTTTGTCCGTTAAATGGGAAACAGCTTTGGGTTTTGTACACAAATGTTGCTATTGGGTTAAATAAAAAAAGAGTGGAGGCCATGAAAGAAAAAGAGAGGGAAGAAAGCAGGCGAGAGAGAATGAAATATTCTGCAAAAACGTTGTTGCTTCCAAAAAGTTTAATTCGGCACCTACAAATCCACCTACCATGCAAATGTGTAAGGAAATTCAAAAGATGTTGTCGACTTTACAGACTTTCTCTCTATAACACAGAACAAGATGTACACCAACAGACTTTCCCCTCCATAAAACCAGAAATGTATATTTATATTAGCCGATCTATAAAGTTCTGTTTGATAATCATTCTAATACTGATATATTTTAAGTGACAAACTGCATTCCTTTGGGGTCCAGAATAAACTTATCAGAAGTGCTCTTTGCTTGTCTGTATATATAAAAATATATTCTCGATATAAAGGTCGAGTCTCCTTTATCCAAAATGCTGTGGACTTTGGAATATTTGCATATATACATAATGAGATATTTTGGAGATGGGACCCAAGCCTAAACATGAAATTCATGTATATTTCCTATCCACCTTCTACATGTAGCCTGAAGGTAATTTTGTGCACAATATTTTTCATAATTTTGTGCATGAAACGAAATTTGTGCACACCAGAAAGCAAAAGCGTCACCGTCTCAGACACCCATTTGGATTATGGAGTATTTTGGAGACTCAAACTCCAGGTAAGGGAGACTCAACCTGTAGTATTTGGATCCATGTATCGGCTTTCTGAGATCCCAGCACTGTTGTTGCAGTTAAGAAGTCAACATATGGCTGATTGTGAGCTTATGAATAAGAGACATCCAAGTCATCCTGTCCTCGACGGCATCACTCTCTCAGCCTCAGAGGAAAGCAATGGCAAACCTCCTCGGAACAAATCTTGCCAAGAAAACCCTAGGATAGGCTTGCATTGGGGTTGCCGGAAAAGTCGGAAAAGATTTGAAGGCACATGACAACAACAACAACAATAAATATATATATGCAGAATACTTCTGGTACCACGCACTTCAGATGAGGGAGACTCAACCTGTACTAGCCAGCAACTTGGATAGTTTCAGTATATATATATATATATATATACACACACACACACACACACACATTTTTGTTAAAAACAGAGATCCACAACCAATAGAAGGACCAACTATCCCTGACTTGGCTTCACACAAATGAAAACCAACGGCCATATCTACAAAATCTGGAACATGTTCAGCCCAAGCCTAAGTTGTGAGTCTCATTGTATTCAACTAAGTTACTCTAAGTTCAACTAAGTATGCAGCTTTTACGTTTCCATCATCATCATCATTGCAACCACTGAGGTTAATGAAATAAAACAGACCAAACTAGCTTAGATCCAAGGATTTCACGCTTAGCTAAAATCCAAAATGCATCTAAGTTAAAATACCTATTCCTATTATGGCATGTTATTTCAAGCTAGCAAGTGAAATGAAAACCCAATGCTCCGTATGGGTGCTCTGTATTTCTCCATAAGCAAAATGCTGGAGTAAACTCAAGAGTTTCATGAGAATTAACCATGATTTGGCTTTGGGAAACTCACAACCGGGGAATATGGGCAACCTTTCCGTAGTTTATGGGCCAAGAGTTAGCGTTTGATATGGCCAGTATGAGTAGAAACCATTCTCTTATTCTCCATGAATATTAATCTGAAACTATCCAAGTTGGTGGCTAGTACAGGTTGCGTCTCCCTCATCTGAATCGCTTGGGACCAGAACTATTCTGCATTTTGGATTTTTTAATATTTAGGAATACCTGTATTTGCATATACACTTCTGGATACTGAGTTTGAGACTTAATGCTTAATGCCCTTACCAGGGATCATGCCTAGGGCTGCATCCTCGTTGCAGAAATAATCCAGTTTGACGCCACTTTAACTGCCATGGCTCAATGCTATGAAATTCTGGGAACTGTAGTTTGTTGTGGCACCAGAGCTTTGCAAACTACAAACTGAGATTCCCAAAATTCCCTAGCACTGGGCCATGGCAGTTAAAGTGGCGTCAAACTGGGTTATTGGGATGACCTCTGGAGTGGAAACCAGAGAGAAATTCTTCTGGGTTATTTCTACAGTGAGGATGCAGCCCTAGGCATGGTCCCTGGTAAGGTCACTAAGCATTAAGTCTCAAACTCAGTTGCTCAAACAACACAACTACACTCACACAGAGTGAGATCCCTTGTCCAGAAGTGTATATGCAAATACAAGTATTCCTAAATATGGAAAAATCCAAAATGCAGAATACTTCTGGTCTCAAGCAGATATGTACATTGCCCATCATGTTCTTGGAGGGCAAATAGCATGGCCTGTATTATATCATCATCATCATCATCATCATCATCATCATCTTATATCCCATCTTTCTCCCAATATAAGGACTCAAGGCAGCGAACAGCAAATTTTAAGCAATATAAAAGAGTATACTGGAAAACAACCTGTTTAGCGCTTGCAGAAGAGGGAGAAATTAAGAGAATTGCAAGACTCCAACTTCATCCCAAGAGAGCCGTCCGGGTGTTTCCTGTAAGCAAGCAAATGGCTCAGAGCGCTTGAAACGGATCAAGATGAGCTCATTTAAAATGCCTGCCTATTTTTAAAAAGAACACACAACTCAGTGGGTTTGGGGGCTCATTTCAAAAGGATGCTTTGCAGGCCTTGCCGTAAACCAAAAACACGAAAGCCGCACCAGCCTTTTAGCTAATGCACAGTAGCCGCGACATCAAACGCCGCCGCAGCAGAGAAGATCAATACGAGGAACCGAAATTAGCCTGATCATGCAAAGTGCATATTTGGAGAGCTAAAGCATTCTGGGTTTAAGGAATCAACAGGTTTTGATTCAACTGCAGCCTCACCAATATTACCAAATTCAGAAAATGAACACTTCCATTGGTGTTTTTGATGAGGTATTGCATATCCTCTCCAGTTGTTTCAGTTTAGCAGGCAGTCCTGGTTAATCCTTTGCTGTTCCACTTTTCCAGCAGCTTTAAAAATGTCCCGATTTCTCTCTCTTCATCCCATTCCTCCCCTTGTTTT